TTATTGCCAAATTGTGTTAGCAAAATTTAAAAACTTCAATGTATTGACAATTACATATATTATGTATTTAATAAATTATTTTTGCAAGCATGTTTAATATTATTAATTTAATACAAATACAATATCATGTTATATAATAGACAATTAATTTAAGTTCTATTATTCTTGTTCAAGTCCGTATTCACGCTCTTTGATTGTATTCGCAATTCGCAATTCTCTCAATTTTTCCTTTCTTTCTTGAATTAAAAGCATACGTTCTTCATATTCCAATTTTTCCATTGGCTTCATTACCAATTCATTATTTATATTCAAAGGAGAATCATTATTATTAGAGCTACTTTCTGTTAATTTTTGTAACTGTTTGTTTTTAGAAGTTTTTGTAGAACGTTTTTTTGTCAAAGTATTAGTTTTGGATTGCTTGCGAGCTATAAATTAAATTAATATATAAAGTTAAATAAAAAATTTTAACAATATACTTACTATTTCATTTAATTGCTGAAATTTTTTGTTTAATACCATAATTATTATAATGATAATTTAAATATATAGTAGATTGTAATTAAAGAGTACAAATATTATTATAAGTTGGTGCATTTCAATTTTATAAAAAACTATATTAATTTCTAATATTTTTTATTATTTAATTTGTATATAATATACCCTTAAATTACAATTTACTTTTTAATTAATTTACCTTTTAAAGTGAACTTGGCACAATTTATAAATATATGTTAAATGTTCTTCCCAACTATATGAGCTATCAATCAAAGCTAATGTTTCACCTAATCCAATTATCTGTGCTAAATCCAAATCACCAATTATACAACTCCAACCATCTCCATGAATATGCTTAAATTTTGGTAGTTGTCTAGTAAAATATTTAATAAGATCAAAAAGAGTTTCAAACATTCACTTGTATGTAGTAGTAGTAGCTTGATTAGTAAATATTCTAGCAAATGTTAAACCTAAAATTTATAAATTAGTAATTAATATATAGACATTATGTAAATTTAAATAAATTAAATTAAATATATATAATAAATATATAATACTTGTATTTGGAATTTTATCATAAT